TATTGTTTTTTACAAGTTATGGATGTTGTATTTTCTTTTTACCAATAAAATCTTTTTTTAAAAATTAAAAAAAAAATATTATTTTCTACTCACAAGTTTCTTTACCTTTGTGTTTGTTGGTTGTTTAAATCTTCTCACCAGGTCTCAACACTCCTTCCAAACACCGGTCCTGCTCAGTGCTTAGTCCAGAAGTTTCAGTTTTGTAGTGGCCATTTTACAATGCCGCCTCCCCCGATGGCAATTCAGAGAGCTAATCTCTTACCTACAAGGAATCAGTTGCGTTCCTCTAGATCTAATGAGATGCAGCTTCTTCTTCACTTTCCCTACAGGAAAGTTCTGATCCAAAGATCCCCGGCATCAGTTTGTCAGCCAGAATTTACGTGAGGTTCGTCAGAGCCCACAGGTTTTCTGTCTGTCTCACTGAGGTACTTCCTATCTCTCTATTTCTTCAGTATTGTGGTCAAGCTGGATATCTTCTGATTTCCAAATATATGAAAATGAAATAAAGAAAATTAATTCCTTAAGAAATAGGCCTTTATTTAGACCTATTTCAGTCAGATTTCTACATTATTTGAGAAGGGAAATTTACTTTGGATACCTTTCACTGCTAAATATTGAATATGGAGGAATGAGAGAAAGAAAGGAGCCTTGTTAGTTTTCAGTTTTTGAAGAACTTCCAATAATATCACTCATGGTATTCTCCACATATAGAACTAGAACAGTAGAATAGTTTTACAATTTCTCAGTTTTAAGGGAGAAAAGGCCTAAAATGTAATGTTGCTGCTATCCCAAGATGCATAACCTGTACTTATACCTGGCATTATAGCCCATGATTTACACTTGTTTTCATAATACATTAAAACTTGAGCGACTAGTTTCTTATTCATTATTTCATGTAGGATATTTAATTGGATACCTAAATATTCCATTTGGTTCCTTAGGCATTAATTTTTATATTATGTCACTAGAAATTTATTTTTTAATAAAATTTATATGGCCTGTCAGCTTACTCTCAATGACTGGGCATCTTACAGATAAAACATAATATAAAAAACAAAAAAGCAATAAACTCCCCCCCCCCTGCAATAATCGAATAATCTATTTAATGGGTTTACCATCTCATTCTGTGTTCCTGAGGCCCATTGCAAAAGCCTTGTGAAAGAGGCTCAAATTGGGAGCAAATCTTATTTCTGCATGGGTGATATTTCATAGGGAGGGAGCAACCATGGAGAAGGCCCTCCTCCTTGATCCCACTAGGTGTACTTTTTAGGAGATGGGATATGTAATGTTCCCCACCTCCCCATTCTGGTGGATTGGATAGATATGACCAGGAAAAGACAATATTTTGGAATGTTTTTTGGAACCCTGACACTGGTCCCATGCCATGTAGGGCTTTAAAGATAGCAACCAACATCTTGAATTGGAGCTGGAACCAGCCAGTGCAGCTGCCACAAGATAAATGACACATGTACATCTAGACTAGCGTAACAACATTCGGGTCATTGCATTTTGAACCATTTGAAGCTTCCAAATAATTTTCCAGAATAGCCCCATGTAGAGTGCATTGCAATAGTCAAGACAGAAGGTGACTAGAGTATGAGTGACTGTGAGCAGAGATTGTTGGACCAGGAAAGGGCATAACTGGTACACAATCCATATTTGCATGAATGCCTTTCTAGTCATGACTGCCACCTGTTTCATGAGCTGGAATTGTAAACTCTGAAACCCCCAGTTCATGCACTTAACACCCCATGGTTCGAGTCAGTGGTCCAAAGTCCTGTTGCTCAGTGGTCAAAAGTCCTCTTTTCTGATGAGAGCAACTTTTGCCAAAAGCACTAAAACCTGGTTCAATGACCATGGGATTACTGTACTTGATTGGCCTCTCCATTCTTCCTCCATACTCTGGGTCCTTGGTTTCCAAATGAGATGCAAAAATTGCTCCCATCAGAAAAGAGGACTTTGGACCACTGTGCTTCATTAAGACCAGAGTCAACGCAGCCGTCTACCAGGAGATTTTGGAGCACTTCATGCTTCTTTCCACAGACGAGCTGTATAGGGATGTTGACTTCATTTTCCAGCTGCCCACACTGCCAAAAGCACCAAAACCTGGTTCAATAACCATGGGATTACTGTGCTTGATTGGCCTCTCCATTCTTCCTCCATACTCTGGGTCCTTGGTTTCCAAATGAGATGCAAAACCAAATCATTCACACAGCTAACAATAATAGTCTTGATATATACAACTTCAAAAGTTTCAGCCATGCTTATTAATGAAACCAAGTGGTGCATTCCCATGCACCAACCTAGATCAGACAGTGGCAACATTCCTGCCCTTGTTTTCCAGCACTAGAGCAGACTCCACAATGGCTCTTCAGTTCTGAGCTGTGTGCTTCATTAAGGGTTTGTTTGCCTTGGAGTTCCCTCCGCCATTCCTTCTAGTCCAAGCTAGGAGTAGCAGTCCCACAACCAGCAGAGACATGGAAAAACTGAATGAAATGCAACCTATCACAAACCACAAAACAAAACTTCTGGTACAGCACTCAAAACCACCCAGAACTTTCAAAACAATCCCGCTCTCAATGCCAAGCTTTTGTTCTGTGGATAGAAAGAAACAAAACTCTTGAAGAATTAGATTTTTCTGTCATAATCAGGGGTGGATTCCTGCCATTCTACAAATCCTGCCATTCCACAAATCTACAGTGCCGTTTAGAACTGGTTCCA